ATATTGGACTTATGGACATGATCTGGACTGGGTTGGGATGTTTTCTCAATATACCATTGCTCTTTTATATAAAATTCTTTTTTATACACACATGAGTGTCTATGGATTTGTTTCTCTAGTCAGGCCCAACTAACACACATAGTATTAAAGGGCAAATGTGTGCTGCCGGTGGAGGATGGCCTTTGTAATTTGTGGATGACCTGAAATTGATTTTGACAGGATGTCTAAGTTGAAAGGCACAAGCACACCAGTTCACTAACTTTATAAACAGTATTACAATAGTTACGAATTATAAAATTTACTACTCTTATAAGTAATGCCTTAAGTTTGTAAAAATTGTTTAAGCATCGGGGAGGCTTTTATGTATTACTCTGACAAAAAAAAAAAAAAAGAAAAATTTTAATTAGATAAAGTCAAATAAAGTATGAAGGACTTCCATTAACTAGGCAGCAACAGCCCCCTTTTTATCGTTCAAAATTATTAAATGTATAGTAAAATAACAAAGGTGTGGTAGCTACATAATTTCATGTCAACTTAATAAAAGACTGTCAGTCACGTCACAGCCTGACAGTCCCTCCTTGTGGACATGGCTTTCTCATGAGGATTCTGGGAAATCTCTCTCACTGCTAGACCTTCCTGCTGACAAGCCACACGGAGCCATGCTGATGGCAGCCAGAGTCCTGGAGATACGTCCACCCCCATTGGATCCACAGGACTTTCCACCCAGCAGTTTGTGATCTTCCTGCATTCGACATCATTGCATATGTTGTGTGAGTCAAAGAGGAATTTATGAAGTCATTTTGTAGTTATTTGTGGACTTGACCTGCACTGGGCTGGGATGTTTTCTTAATGTACAATTACTCTTTGATATAAAGTTCTTTCTTACACACATGAGTGTCTCTGAATTTGTTTCTCTAGTCAACCTGGCTAATACAAAAGGCAATAAGGGAAACACAGTTTTGAGGAACATCCAGGTTTTAAATTAGTTTTGTTAATATAACATTAATCTTAACAATCTAACTTTCCTCAAATAATCTTTTCTATACACAAAAATCATTTTTAGGGATTCCAGAAATTTCCCACTGAACTGCTAAGACTGATGTTAAAAAAAATTTTTTTTTAAAAATATATCTAAGTTGCTAGGTGGAGGAGGAATGACCTGTTGAGATAGAGCAAATGGGTGAAAAATGTACTGGGGAACCAATGACCCTTTGGGGGGAGCATGGAGACTGAGTGACTCATTATGGAGATGCAAATGAAGGCCACATTTGGCTTGTCTAGGACTTGATGCCGGGGAGAAAACTTCAAAACACTGTCTGAGAGCCCTGAAAAGCACCATTAGTCAGCTGTCCACAGGAAACAGATGGCACAATACCACCCACT